TAAATATAATGAATGAACAAACTTGTACATTAAAAATCGATTATAAAGTCATTGACTATATTAACAAAATCAAAATGGCTGATTAGATTTCCAAAATCCTAAAAGACATCCCAAAATTGTTTTTCTATATCTTTTCTTCTTATTTTGAAAATAAATTATAAAAAATTTCAAGTGTTAAATTTATTGGACACATCAAGTATTACATTTATTGGTTAATTCTCAATTCTTGAATAGATCTAACTTTAAAATTCAATACTGGCTTTTTTAGAAGGGTGTAACTTCTATAATTTTGAATCAAATATTACAAAACTTACCATTAATGATGACTACCACCTATATTCTCACAAAATAACATAATTTTCACGCTTGCTTGCGTATTCTGATTTTATTTGCTTTATTGATATTGAAGTTTTTCTTCAAAGTATTTTTTTATAACTTTGAAGTACAAGATTGCCAAAAATAATTACTTTTGTAAAATAATTATTTTTTTTTCTTCAAGGGTCGAGGTAGATTACTGCAATCAGATTGATTTTTAAGTATTTAAGATAGTTGGTTTTTTATTTATATGGATTTAAAAAATAGACTTTTTATGAAAAAGAAAATAAACAACTCAAAATAAGCTAAGATATTAATTTTTAAATTGCCATAATTTTAGAATGCTTTAGGATAATGAGTTGAAATTTTTGAGAAATTCTTTTACCACAAAATCAAAAGGTGTAAATTTCAAAAAAATCTGAGATAGTCACTCACAAAATTTTCAAATAATTGGCTCATCTTATATGGGATGACCCTATATTATATAGGGTGTCAAGTTTACCTTATGGCATTTGCCATAAATCTGTTTCAAGTAATTACAAAACAATACAATGCAACTCTTGCAATAAATGGATCCATACTAAATGTAATTAATAATAGCTACATTCATCTTATGTCAGAAACTGTCAATTACTATTATACAAGTTTGCAAAACACTTTTGCCATATTTAAATCTTTCTTATAATGAAATCAAGCATAAATGGTGCAAATAAATTCTCAACTGAATACAATAATACAATAAATAAGAATTCTATAAGTCTTGCTTATATTAATATATCAACATTCTATATTGATGACATTAGATGTCTGTTAGCCTTTATGAAAAACAAACCAAAAATGATTGCAATATTTGAGACTCATTTAAAACAAAATGGCAACAGACAAAATTTCATTAGAAAAAGAAGATTTGAGAAAAAATATAGCATTTAATTTATAGTTTTTTTTGTGCAAAACTATAAAATTTTGAATAAATAGAGGATTTTTTTTTTAATATTTCCACACTTGTGTGGTTTAGACAGGTTTCAATAATGTCTTTTTTATGTTAAATTAAATGGTTTTGCTAAAGCAATGTTTTACAGTTCAATGTCTGTTTAGGCATTAACCAGTTCTGCAGATTAGCATTTGCATTCATTAATTTTTAGCGTCTTTGCTTTCTTGGACTTCAGTATTGAATATATTGAATGCGTAGAGGTGTAGTGATAGAGCACTCGCTTTTTAAACAAGAAGAGTCTTCCCAGGAAAGCAAGCCTTCCCGGGAAGGCTTGCTTTCTCAATACTTATGTATTATGAAAATACTTATGTATTATGAAAATTTTCTCAATACTTATGTATTATGAAAATTAGAAAATAAATTTATTTATTTACAATTTATTTTTAATTATATTATTTGAACAATAAATTTTGTAATTAAAAAAATTAAATAAAAGAATTGAATGGTTTTTTTTATAAATGTATTTACCACATTTGATGCCTGTCTGAAATTGTTTCCTTTATATTGCCAAATTATTTAAAACTTATACAAAATACTAGAGATAATGAACATGATTGTTTAAAAAAATGTGTTTAAAAACTTAAATTTTAAAAAAACTTCTAAAAATTTTGTTAAAAAAGTTCAGTAAATTACAAAGCACTAGTCCACAACCTTTTGGAGCAACGCTAATAACAATAGTTCATCAGGAAAAAAACTATTGGATTTAAATGCACAATTTGTCTAATAACAAATTTGTCTTTTATATCTAATTGTTAGTCTTCATGGAATTCCTGGTCTATTTATCTTTCTATATCTTTTTTGTGATATACTCCAATAACAGCCAGTCGTACACCATGGGCAAAACTTTATTGATTTACCAGTAATAGTCACCCAACTTTTTTCACTTTGTTGAGCTCCAATATTTAAATCTTTTTGCAGTATACTTACACATCCTTGTCTGCCCTTTTTTTTCTTATTAGAAATGTTTCAAAACAGCAGAATTACTTTTTTTTGTCATATTCTGTGTAAACCATTACACTTTAAGGAAAAAAAAGAAGCTATTATAATTTAAAAAAATTTAGCATTGAAACAAACGGAAAAATTTATTTTAATTAACACTAGTCCTATCAAATAGTCACAAACCATTTTGTCATCAGGACATAAACTATCGGGTTTAAATGCACAATTTGAATAATCCAACAAAAGTGCAAACTATTTCAATGGGGATAGTGAAAACAACCGAATATTTTATATTTAAGCATAAGTATTAATGACTTTTTATTATTTTACATAAAAATCTTGTTAAAATGTTTTTTATAATTAATTATTTTTGTTCAGCATTTGTACTAGTCCTAAATAAAATTTATTCTTTAGAGTCTAAAAATTACCTGGTAATTTATTAAATAAAACTTATTCTTTAGAGTCTGAAAATTATCTGGCAATTTATTAAATAAAATTTATTCTTTAGAGTCTAAAAATTACCTGGTAATTTATTAAATAAAATTTATTCTTTAGAGTCTAAAAATTATCTGGTAATTTATTAAATAAAATTTGTTCTTTAGAGTCTGAAAATTACCTGGTAATTTATTAAATAAAATTTATTCTTTAGAGTCTAAAAATTACCTGGTAATTTATTAAATATTAATGCTAATAACAATAGTTCATTGATAAAAACAGTAAAGTTTAGTTAACATGCTGACTAACAAAAGCCACAAATAAATTGTATATCAAAGAATGTTTTTATTTTTGTTATATTTTTATCTGCCTCGAGTTGTATTAATTTTGGTAGCGGAAAATAACAAACACCCTAAAAAAAGAAAACAAAAACAGTAAAACATTTAGGTTTTTTTTTTTTAACATAAAAACATCAAGTTGTCTAAAAAAAATACTTTAAACGTGGACAAACCATGAGACTGCACACGATTCCCAGGAAGGCTTGCATATGTTTAAAACTTTTTAAAACATGTATGTAAAAAACGCTTAAAAAACTCAATAAGAATCCTAAACATGACCTTGCATGTTTAGTTCATTGGCTAAGATCTTTTTTAAGTTATTTTGTGAAGGTTTTTAAAATAAAATTTTAAAAAACTTAACAAAAAGACCTAAACAAACATGTTTTAAACTGTGAAATCGATAAAATTTGTAGATAATTCTTATACTTTTCATGCAACTGTACATGCTAAAAATCCTGAAACTATCTCTAGTAATTTAAAAACCAACAACATCTGCTGTTATGCTTTTTGTGTGCAAAGTCAGTATTTTCTTCTAATATTTATATTTATTTTTAAACAAATTCACTACATAAATTTTTTTAATTTAAATTTTTAAACATTGTTGATACAACCCCCTCTTATAACTGTACTTCATCAATATAAACTAAAAACATACTAAAGTAAAAAACTTATTTTAAAAAAAAATTGAAATAACTAATTCAATTTTTTTTTTATTATCATTAAGTTAAGTTTCTAAGAAAAATCAATTAATGTAACACTTGATATATGAATATAAAAATATTGTGTTACTCAAACAGTATTAGTTGGGATATTTAAAATATTGCTATAAAGCAAACAATGATATGCACTTACATGAGCTACTGACACATAAAACAAAATAATTGATCAGTAACAATGATAGAACAAGTAACCAAACTAAACTAACTTGTATAAATGCACATAATTTGTTTCACATAAAG